AAACTCGTCCAGAAACACGAAGAAAAAAAGGAATACCGGGAAATATTTTTTTTTCATACTTGACAGCTCATTAAAATCCATCCCAAAATTTTCCTAAGCTTATGTATAAAATTGGCAAAGTATCGACCTCCCCATCTTCATAACAAACGTATAAATAATTGTGCGTTTACACAATGCACAAAGTAAGTACATTTGCCTTGTAGAGTCGCAATTTATATATATTTTATATAACAAATAACAAATAATCATAATTTCTATTATTGTCTATTTAATAAAAACGGCAACCTAAAAACATTACAATTTTTTAACGTCTTAGTAGAAAAATGACACACATGTGAAGTTTCACCATTCGGCCTGTATTTTTCTGAAATTACATTCAGCAATAACTTAGCTTAAAATCTTAGCTTACAATCTTACGCTCCACCTTTTGTAAAAATTTACCAAAGTCTTTCGATGGCGAATGGAAAGTTATTAAATTAGCTTCCTTAGTTAAGTAGTTAGTGCGTAAAACCAAAGTGATAGGGAAAGTTCGAAAGACAAAGCAACCAAGTAAGTTACGTTCGGTTGTGACCGGATCTTTTATCCCAATCAGAACAAGCGAAATTTTCTTGCTCCATGGACATTAAAGAAGCATGGCTGATATTATCCATTTTTATAGAATATATGTGCAAATTTTGCTTGTATTGCTTTTGTAGTTTATGAGTAACAAGCGAAAAGCGCCAGAAATATAAGTGCTCTATGCTTATGTTGCATTGTATCCATCCCTTGAACGATTTAACTCATTCTCAATAGCAACCCTCGTTCAGTACTGTATAACTTTTCTCGCCACCAATATGAACACCTTGACGTGTTTGAACATTCCATGAACGAAATATCCAAATTTATAGTTATTTTTAAGGACGGGAGAATGTTTGTCGCAAGTGGCCAAGCGGACAGATGCACAGAAAAGTAGACGAGCATGCCCAAATCGATTCCGAAACTGTCTCCGCTCAAGAATATGTATGCTTCATGAAGACTCTGACTGTAATATTGTGTGGGCGTATCAAATTTTATACCGAGTATTTAAGGATCGCCCACGGAATATATAGGGAAATTTTCATAGTATTATCTCCTACAGGTAGTGAGTAACGAACCACATACCAATTTATTTTTTTGGGAACGGAAATATTCCGAATTTACGGAATATTGTAGGCGTGTCCTTCGACCGATTTGCCTCGTTTCTACCAAGTTTCTTCCATATCTCTATTCGACATTGATCAAGAATGTATACATTTTATGCAAGGAGCTGTGAGAGCTTGTTGCGAACGTTTTGTGAAATGAATACGTCCCCATCCTTCGGTATTGTATATAAATAATAAACAAATAGTGATCACAAAACAACAAATACGGGTTTATATTTAGGCATTGGTGTCAGACACTTTCGCTAGAAAATGTGTTAGTAAAGTTAATTCTCTTTAAGAAAATTCGTCCCATTCCGGATAAAATTTAAAAAAGCGAACTACGTTTATCCTTTCATTTACTTTATTATTTCATAATGAAAGCGAGCATACTGGACTTGAAAAATTATTAAATATGGCACAAGAACGAAGAGGCGCCTTTTGTGCTTTCAGAAATTATAAATATTTATTCTTTGCCAAAATTTGTTTAAGCGTTGAAAAATATACTATAGAAAAACAGGTCTATGACAAAATTTAAATTATAAAACAAAGTATTTTTGACAAGAGATTGAAACTTCGACATTGTATAATTCTGGATTACTGTGGTCGATTCTTGCCATTTTTTACAAGTATGATAGGGACATAAACCCCATAAGCTCTTCGTATCTTTCTCGTTATGTTTAGTGCAGTTTCCCCCTTTTATATATTTTAAAACTGTAAGGAAAAATTACAGTTAATTCATGGATTTATAATACGAATGGGGAGTGTACTCGGCATGCAGTTGAAAGGTTCAAATGTTTTTTGACTTTGCAATTTTAAATTGAAGTTTCAGCTTTTACAACTAAACTGAAAAATTGGAGAGATCAATATATTTTACTTGCATCAAATGTTTAATTAGTGGGAACAAAATTTTTTACGCAAGAGTTTTATAGTATCGCTTGAAAACACACTAATTCTAAAAAAGAAGGATTTTCATTTTTTAGAAGGTAATTATTCTTTGCTGAACTGGCTGTTTGTTTTTTATGAAATAGATGCACTCCAACACCACCGCTTTGCTAGTCGAGCATTATCCGCACGTTCTCTCTTTTATTGTTTTTTTTATTAACAAAAAAATGTACTTTTAAGAAAGATAGGAGAAACAGAAAATTAACAATAATATAATTATAACACATTATACCGTCATTTAATTAATTATTATTATCAATTTTCATTGATATTATCAACTTTTTTCTCTCAATAATGATAGACTAAATTTTCATAAAAATTTCTTTACGTTCACATGCATTTATGCTCAATAATTTTTGTAAATTAAAACCGAACAGTTCATAAATGTTCAAAGCTAAATTAGATTAATCAATTCTTGAAGTATGCATATACACTATCTATCGAAATCATCTAAAAATTAGTATTTTTACCTTTTCTATTACAAACAATTTCAATAACAACAATCGTAATAACAGAAAATAAATTTACTCTAAATCAAGTGTCAATAAATTAAAAAAAATTTCTGTAAACAATTCGCTGGAGAAATTACGCGTGTGCATAGAGGAGTGTATAAATGACAAAAAAAAAAAGTTCGTTTTTTTTCTCTTATCTGTTATAGAACAACTCTCTCCGAAACAACTCACATACATGCTTTGTATAGACCAAAATTCACTTGTTGTAAGACGTCTTTCTATGAAACTTCAATGCTGTTCTCATTTATAAAAAAATGAAACAAATTTTTAAATTATTCCAAAGCATTAAATAAAAATTTGAATGAAATTCTTACAGCTGTAAATGAATTTAATGACTGGTTTAATGAATAATAAAATTAGTGACAAAATATTTCTTTTTATTAATGCAAGTCTTAATAATTTTATGCTTTATATCACTATCTATATGTCAAAGAAAATATTGAATTTATACGAAATTTTTTAAACAACACGCCTTCTGTTGTGCGAATCAGAATTTACTGTCCTACTTGATGTCTTTTGTGTTCGAGATATTTGGATGGAACAAAGACGATCGATCATACATGCGATCACTCCCATAACGACCTTATCCGATTATAACGATTCAAAATACATCAATTTTTGGTTAGATTTAAAGTTTGTTTGAAAATCACTTGTGTACAGGTCTTTCAGAAATTAACGTCATTAAGGTCTTATTGAAGATTATCAAATTTTCTAAAAACAATCATCCACCACATTGAACGCACCTCTCACTAAACAAATTCCGTCAAATTAAGGACAAGAAACTATAAACTATGAAATAGTGTAAATTGAAAACGTTCCTTTTTCTCTTTAATTTGGTCAATTTCAATTAAAAATATATCGGTTATAATTTCTTAAGCATTGTTTATCTTTTAATCCAAGCTATTCGAGAGCACCAAAAAATAATAAAACTTTTACGTTAATATGCAACAATTGTCCTTCATAGCGTTCTTATATTATTGACCGGCATGACCAACTCAAGCAATTGGTTCAAAACCACAAGCATTTCAGTCATAACTAATGATCAGTTTTCCTTTGGCACTTATTTTCTACACTAAACCACCTGTCTACAAAGTAAAAAGTTCATTTGTAAATCAATGTCTGCGTTATTCGTTTTCATACCTTATACATACATATTGCATGTTGAACAAAATTTTGATAAACAAAGAAAGAAGCCTAAAATTTTTGTTGTTAGTTATTCTCCCCTTATTGCTGTCGTTATTATTGTTCTGTTTACTAAATCTGATGTTATTTTACCTAATTGAATTAAATTCATTCGATATTGATTTCTTCAATTAGTTGGCACAAGTTTACAGAAATAAAAGTTTAAAAAAAGAAAAGAAATTTAATTTTGTGATGCCAGAGCGATTCTATTTTTTGCTTTGACAATTCTTCCGTTTAACTAAAAATATAAAATAAATTGAACTTGAAATCTCTTTCATTGAGTTATTTTTACTTAAAAAGTGTTAAGTGCGCTAGTTACCCATCAGAGGAATTTCATATTAAACTGCCTTATAAGCATCCTTCAAGTGTGCCAATTTTTCCTTGGACAAACATATCTCTCGAGACCTTTCTTGCGTACAAAATGAGGTTTTCTTAGCGATACTTTTTGGGGGACTAGAACTAATTTCATATTTCACTAGGGTCGTTTTTAGTATTTAACGTATACTGTCCGTGCTTTAAAATAAACTTTTTGTTGCCTAGTTCTTCAGATTGTCATTCGCTCACTTTAAAATCACGCTGAAACTCGTAGAATACTAGATAGAATACGTCTTAACAATTTTAAGATTTCTTGTGGAAACAAATCATCAAAAATAGCCGTAAGTTTTGAAGAAAAATTCCAAAAATATATAGAAACTGCAAAAGCTTAAAATTTGGTGGAGCAATGTCTTACGATGATAAGGATAATTCTAGAAAAAGCCGATTTCGTAGGAATTGAAACTGACACAATTGACACGGAATTTGTATCAATTTTCTATTCAATCAATTACAGATTTTTGGAATTTTTTGCTTGTTGCGAACGCTCTTACCGGCTGATCTTCATTACTTTACGTGAGAAATTAAAATGGTCGCTAAAGGGAATTTTACATTACGAGCCTTTTATGAGCCATTGTCAAGCTATAACAGACTAGCACCTATATTTTAGTTGGATATCTTAATTTTCCCAGTCGTCAGCACGTCGACAAAAAGCAGCAGACAAATAGAAAAAACTGTTTCAGAATCTTACACCACCACTTTAAGCGCCTTTTTGTGTGTTAGCTCTTATTTCTAAAAATGTTTTTTATATTGGTTAGCAATATTTAAGCCACTTTTAGCGGATAATCCGCTCTCATCAATTTAAAATAAGAATAAAAGCAAACTTACCCTGATTGTCGTGGTTCTCTTCGCTGCATTTCGTGCTCGACCACACCGAAAAAAACAACGAAGCAACAAAAATGTCGACTACAATTTGTGCGCAACTATTATTTATTTAAAAGCACCAACAAAAAAACACTTGTTCTCGCTCTCTCCTGTTGCGTTCTCAATCTTCCGTTTTTTCTCCGTTGTTCACAGCTTCTTTCAAAATATCTACATTACTCACGCACAGGAAAGAAAACACAAACTTTTGCTTTTTGCTGTTTTCGGAGTGAAGCAAAGAAAGCTGCACGTAAACAGAAACCGTGAAAAGACGTTTTAGAAGCAAACGAAAAAAAATTAATTAATTTACAACATATAAAATACTACAAATGCACTAAGCCGAACGCACGCACGAACACTTGACACTAAGTGTTTATATTTCGCTCTCTCTCTCTTCTGCAGGACTATCAGATATTCACAGAAAATGCTTATAACACTTAAAGTGACTAGTTAAAGATATCGTTAATCGCGAATAAATATTCATTACAAGCATTTGCTGTAATGACGTTGAAAAAGACTATTCAAATGATGCTATTATATATTGGGGACAGGTTCCCCAAAGCAATCTTTAGGCAACGAAGTTAACTAGCTTTTCGGCGCATAATAAATTTATGAGGCAGCAGTGTGCTGTTCGTTTACCTTAAGCTACTCACGATTGGTTTTCTGCAGGTCTTATTATTTTTTATTAGCTTTGTTCTTTAAAATGGAAAAATAGAAATTTTCCGTAAACCTTTCAATATTGCTGTAGAATTTTGCACACTTGCGCAAGCGTAGTTAATTGATTGACGTCTTCCTATAAAACTGAGTTGACTGTATGTTGACCGATTTCCTTTTCTTTCATAAATTTATCTCCTTCCAGTCGATTGAATTTTGAGTTCAATTTTGTATTTTATTTTGAAACTGAAATATTACGTTGGATTGCTTTCTGACGTTTACAAAAGAAAAAAAAAAATCAAAAAGTACGTCTTCTTTTTAAGTGAAATCAAAGTCCACATGACATCCAATAAAGAAGGCAAAAAACTTAACGAAAAGAATGAAAACATAACAAAATCGTTCGATTTTACGGGGTGTGCCTAATATCAACCTTTAAAAAGATTTGATTTTTTTTTTTATTTTACACATTTTCTTATTTGTTTTTTTTGCTGCTTTACTTGAAACCATTCCCTAAGTTTTCAGTTCTCTTTGCTTTTGCATTTCCTTTCGAATATAAGTCGTCTATCAATCGTAATAATTGTTATTTAGGGAAACATTAGATTGAAATATATTTATAGGGTAAGAGGTTCGTCTTCTTTTTCACTGTTTTCGACATTGATATCTTTTCTTCTCTTTATTACTTTATAAATTCGTTTTAAAAGAGATGTTACGACAGAAGTCAATAACAACGTCTTACGAATATTCTCGTTGATGTAATTGCACTTGAGGTCCTTTATAATGTGATGTGACCATTGCACCCAAGGATTAAAGTTAAAATTTTAAATGCTGAAATAAGATAAGAATAAAAAAGTACAATTGATTAACGCAACTCCGAATTTAACTTTTGTATAAAAAATTGGAAATGAGTTTGATCCTCCCAGCTATAAAAAATCATGGTTTTCAAGATTTAAAATATCTGAAAGTTTATGTTTAGATGTGGAGAGCGAAAGCCATGGAATGGGCCTCAGATACATGCACTTCAAATAGCATTTAGCCATGCCCGCACCTCGACCACATATTCGGAACACTCACGACTTCCAATATCAAATAAAAAACTTAACCTGAAAATGTGAACAACCTAGATGGTTCCCAAACCACACAGGTGCAACTTATTTACAATAGCTTATATAGACTCAAAATCTGACGCTCCCTATTATACAAAGAAAATTTACGAACGATCAGGTTGCGTTTGGATATGAAAAGTTCAAGATTTATAAAGCTTACGCCAACATTTATTTATTTCCCAAAAATATGACATCCGCTAATTCTGAAATCCAGTATATGGTTCTTAAGAAAAAAATTCAAAACGACATATAAGATTTATTATTCTAAATCTTCATAAAACATTTCAAAATATATTTCTAATTCTCGACTTTGCACGTCTAGATCAATTAATTTTATAGAGACTTCTTAGATGAACTTGTTGGATATTTGCGCCAATTCCGCATCGTAAGTTATTAAGATTATGGCCAAGCTTAAGGGAGCCACAATAAATATTTCAGGCCTATCGAATAAGATTACTTTTTTCTGTCAAACTTTTCAACGATAGGGGTCCTAACGGGGGGGTGTATGTGTATTTCTGGGAGAGATATATAGTGTATCCAATATGAAAGTTTCGTTTTTGTCCGATTTATTTTTAAATAGGAGATATTTTAGTAAGTAAACAGGCGGCGGTAACTAGTGATTGCAATAAATACATAAAAATATGCGTAAGGTTTTAGTAACCGAGTATCTCGTGGCAATGGGTTACAAATCCAATTAGTTAAAAATCGAAAATTATGCGCAAGGATAATATTGTTCACACATTTTCAGTATTACCATGAATTTTACAATCATTTATTCTAAGATTATGTCGTAATCTTTGTTATATTCACGTAGAAGCAGTAGCAGTAGAAGCTCTCGCGCGAATGTTTCAGACTTTAGCGAAGATCTTTTCCTTTCCTAAAGGATTTGAAGCGAAATCTAGTAAAAAAAGAACTGAGCGAAACCAAATTCTCCTACTAGCTTAAAAACAAGCAAATAACGAATCGGACTTCCATATGATTTTTGACACTTCTTTTCGACAGTGAGAGCAAAACAAATGTGAGAGAAAAATAAAAACAAAACTTCCATATAAGCAATTACACTATAAGAGTAAAAGAGATAGATGCAAGTATATTGTTGAGTATATAATAACATTGCAAAGTACAATTTGCTCATTGATTTTCATATCTATGCTCTTTATATATACATTGCTATTAACTCTTATTTATGTATTTATTTTCAACCTTTGTAAATATTTGCAAGTTTTTAAAGACTTTTGTTTGTCAACTTTTTTAGAAAACTTTACTTTCGCAAATTTACATCCTTTTCGTGTAACTAGGCCAAGGGCTAATGATAATTGGGAAAACATTTATATATTAACGCTTTAAAACACTTTATTTGTTGTCGAGATTGCTCTTTAAATCACTTTTTTATTACAAGCTGGTTGCACTTTTTTAAATACATTGTTTTTATAAACCAAAAATTATAAAATTGCGTACACAGCAGACATCTTCAGGGGTGTAGTTTTTCTTTGCTTATGTGTTCTGGTGTCTTTCTTTATTTTTCTTTCGATCTGTTATTATTTGTTACACTCTCTCGCTCGTTTTCTGTCAATATTTCACAAAAAACCTAATAACAAAAAAAAATTTAAATAAGTTGCAAGAGTTGTAGATTACGTTGTATACTATTTTTTTCTTTAACGCTTTGCCATTAAACTCCGAAATATGTTCTTAAAAAACCATTCGTCTTCATATAAGAAAACCACAAAACTAATTAAAAAAAGAGTAACAAAGATAACTACATAAATTTTTAATTGTGTGAAAAGAAAGCCATACACGACATAAAGTTATTTTGGCCATAACAGTTTTTTGTAATTACACTAGCCGGTCGCTGAATAATTTAACTGACTAATTTTCCTTCTGCCTTTTATCACACAACATTTCAATTACTGTTTTTAAGATTTCTGTTCACAAAATGTCTTTTAAAATATTGCTTTTTCACAGATTTCGAACTAATCAACAGAATCAGTGTGATTTTTATGTATATACGCTTAACACATGCAACCTTTCAGTTATCTCTTTTACTCTTTCTAAATGTTAGAGCAATACGTTTTTTTTTTTTACTTTACCATTAACTGTATAACACAGGAAAATCAGCCAAGGATTTTTAACAAAATTTGCACTTTTGGATTACACATTTTCACACGAAGCCAAAAGATTTTTTCAAGCTATTAACCAAATTTTATTAGTTTATTACTACATTTATCTACGCTCGAAAAGGTATTTCCGCTGGCCTCCAAAACACCCGATTTTTTTGTCAAAAAAATGTAGTGCAGAAAATTTACAAACAAGTATTACCTAAATCCAAAATTTTTTAAAGTCTTGTGGATTTACAATTACCCTAAAAAGAAATTTTACTTGTAAATAAGGAAAAAAGGAACTTATGGAGAGAAAATTCTTACAAACCTAATGACTATCATTCACACAGTAAACTACTCTTTTTAAACGGTCTATGCAGTAGTAGAAACCTCGGAGCAAATCTAAGTCAACTAAACTCAGGACTATGATCGTAGATATTTTCTTGGTTAAAAAATTTGTTTAAAATCGCTTAAACTTGGAATATCATTAACAAAGTAAGGAATACCCTTGTCACTGATCGACGCAAATTCAAAATTTTTTGAGTACATAATCATATTGATCGCTTGGGAAATGACCGCGCTATCCTAGTAACAAAATATGCTGTTTTATTACTATTAATGGTGAAAATAGGCCTTCAAAAATATATTAGAAAAAAATTAAGTTGATAATTAACGAAAAAAATCGACATTACTGCAATCACTGGTACTGGTACTCTTATGTTCATTCGAAGCTAACCTCCACTATATGCAACCAAAATCAAAAATCGTTTATTCATGTTTTTTCACAATCCCAATCGCACTGTTCAATCAAACTTTTTTCGTTCCCTCCTACACGGGAAGAAATAGTTCGTTTTTAAGGCATATTCCCTTTATCTACAAAGCTTAAGAGGGCTGCCAAAACCTCGTTTCAAACTTATCAATGATAATCAGCTGTTCCTAATGAGTAAAGAAAATAAGAAATACTAATCAAAAATAGTAGTAAAACGTCTTCTTCTTTTATTCAGCAAATAACTAACGAAAATTAGCTGTGGTGTCTAAAAGTAGTAAAATCTCACAGAAGTGGAACAACGTGCTAGTTTCTTGTTTAATTAAAGCCAAAAGTTTTTTTTTTTAATGAATGCGATAAAAAAGACTAAAATGCCTAACAGTAAAACCCAAATACAAAAAGAGGTAAGGATTTTCGAAAATAATATATGAAATGCCTAGGAAAATATGGTTTATTCAGCTAAAATTACATACAATTTCAAATCAGCAAATTTATCACAAAAAAATAAAAAAGTTTACAAAGACAAATTGGAACAAAAAGCCGCAGGATGAATTTTGCGACCACGTCGTGGAAAATGTTAACAATGAAGATAATTTTTATGGCACTCCTAGTAATGAAAAAAAAGAAGGGAAAAGAACCGCAAAACGAAAAATGGATAAAACCATTAAAGCACCGGTAATAACTTATAAAAAATGCAAGCCAAATGAGGAGGCGTTAACCAATAATAAATTGAAACGTCCTGCTCTGGAAGAAATAAACGACCTCAAGGACACATGCAATCTTTTTCACTCGAACCTATTCCGTTTGCAAGTGCAGGAAATGTTAGCTGAAGTGAAAACTAAAAATAAATACTTAGAGTATATTAACACATTTTTAGAGAAATTTAAAATACTTCTTAAAAATCTACCAACATCCGACCGCAAAGAAAACGTGGATTCTATATCTTGGTTACAACAAAGTACTATTAAAGTTCCTTTGAATTTGGCGCCCCTAAAAGTGATCAAACAAAAATTGTTTAAATTTCAGTACATCCAACCGAATAAAGATCCTTTTTTAATCGGAGCAGCAGCAATACACAGGTAATATATACATATATATATTTATGGTCTGGGATATTTATCGATGAATTTAGTCTACTTGGTCCTGAAATACAAGCTGACATTTGTGTTGTGATTCCACCACAAAGTTTTCAAAAAGACGACTGGCTTAATATGCTATATGATCAGAAAAGAGCTTATTACTTAACTTACGTAGCCCAACATATACTGAAAAGTAAGGACTTTGAAGATATTGGAGAAGAAAATCTAAAATTTAACTATTACAATAACAACCCATTGAAACCTGTGCTAGAAATAAGACCAGTTTCCAAGTTAAGTTCCAAACTCAGCATACGCTTACTTGTAGTTGGAGATGAGAGGAGTTTCAAGCTCAATCGTTTTGTGCCATGGAACAATAATATCAGGTTGTCGCTGTTCGATGAAGAGGCAAATGACGATTCTGTACAATTTGCTACACCTAATTATAATGGAAATGTATTATTTGATATAACAATGGAGCAAAATCAGAAGTTATTACGCGAAGTTTATGAAAATCGCAAAAATTTGCAAGAGGGCCTGACACTGCTAAAAGTTTGGCTACGTCAACGGCAATTAGATAAAGGTGTCAACGGTTTCAACGCTCACCTGTTGACTATGTTTATAGTGTATTTATTTAAACAGCGAAAGTTGCATATGAACATGAGCAGTTATCAAGTGGCGCGTAACGTCTGGAATCAATTAGGTAAGCATAAACAAGATGTGGGCTCCAAACATTTATTAATAAAACTCAATAATTTCACAGCATTTTCTAGTTGGCATGAATCCAATAAAGGTCCCACTCTTTGTTCTTCAATAAACATTAATGCCAATCAACCGACATTAGAACAAATGCATGCCTACTATCCCGTAGTTTTCATAGACGTCACTGGTTATCATAATCTATGCTTCAATGTCACACTGGATATTTACGAGCTTGTCCGTTTTGAAGCTAAACGGGCGGTTCAAATGCTGAATGATGTGAAGTTAAATAGTTTTCAATTATTATTTATGAACAAGTTTCCTCTTTACAGTCAATGTGACCATATTTTAAAGTAAAATTTTTTCAGTTAAAGGCAAGCTTAATATGATTCTTATAACTTTTTTGTAATTGTAGGATTAACAAAATAGACGCTGTAGAACAGGTATTGGATATGCACGTTGCACCAGCTGATAAGTGTAATTTTGCTGGTCACACTTATCCTCAACTACTTAAAGTGGTGACCAGGTGGGTGAAGATCTTTTTAAATAATAATAATCTTTAGCGTGTTTTTAAATTTCCTATAGACTCCTAAGCAAAGGTTTAGGTAAACGAGTTCAATTTTTAATACCTTTGCAACAAGTTGTACCCAGTTGGTCCATAGTTGAACATCCTGCGACGAGTTATGAATATTTACATTTAGGTCTAATTTTAAATGGCGAGCAATCTTTAGAAATACTAGATAAGGGTCCTGAGTCTTTAGATGAGGAAGCCTCGGAATTTCGTAAATTTTGGGGCAAGAAGGCCCAACTTAGACGTTTTCAAGATGGCACGATCACCGAGGCGGTTGTGTGGGCTTTGGCAAAAGATGATCTTCACAAAAAGCGTTTAGTCACACGCTCAATTGTTTTACATTTATTGCACCACCATTTACAACTGGAAGCTAAGGATGTGGAATATATAGCTGGTGAATACGATGTAGTTTTTAAAATTAACAATGCTTACAAAATGGACAAAATTGTGGAAAAGTATGGCATACATCCAGATACCGACGCCGAAGCTTTATCCTTACGAGTCATTCGCGAGTTTGATAATTTAGCCAGGAAACTAATTAATCTAAAAGACTTGCCGTTAGAAATCGTGTCTATTGCAGGAATATCACCAGTTTTACGCTACTGCGATCCTCAGCCTATATTACCGACAGCCCGCAATATTCGACAACAATTTCATGCCACTCAAATACAACAAGGAATCATACAGTTAGGTAAACATTTTTGAAAATCAAAATTACGCAATATTAATGAACGATTAAAAAAACGCCAGGTCTAAGTGGTAAATGGCCGACGGCTGAGCTGACGGCTTTGCGTGCAATCAAAACGGCGTTCTACTTACAAATTGGTAAACTTCTACGGGAGCAATATCAATTGCCTACTAAAGTCACTTATGATGGTATAATGGTGCTGCATCAGGGCTATTGTTTCAATTTTGAAATAGCTCACCCTAGGGAAGTGGGTTTACTAAAACGAGAAAAAACCGAGAAAGGAGTAACAAAGTATGTAGATTGTACAGCAAGTATTGCTTTAGAAAAACGTCACTATATTTTGCCAAAAGTAGCGGGAGCTTTAAAAGCCTTATACCAGAAACACAACAGTTTCGGTCCGGCTGTTATGATTTCAAAACGTTGGTTATATTCTCAACTAGTCGATGATTGTCTTTGGCCCGATGAATGCACTGAGCTATTAATAGCCTCACAATATCAGAAGAAGGCTAATTCATTAATAACAAATGCTCCACAAATGGGCTTCATACGTTTTCTTCAATTATTGGCAACAACTAAGTGGAAAACTGAAATGATTTTAATAAATTTTAATGATAACATGGAAGGCAAGATGAGTTTGACAAGAATTGTTTGTATATATAGTCAATAGCCATATTTTTTTATTTAGTTTCAGAAATTACTGATTTGGAGCAACGGTTTAATGCAGAGCGCGACGATTTTCCGCCCCTTTGCATTGTTACCAGTTATGACCAACCACATTACGGTAATATATGGTCTTCGGCAGACCAACCAAATCCTTTTGTGTTAGCCAGGGTTACACTTTTGGCTAGACAATGCTTAGAATATTTGGAAAGATCTTTAATATCCCCCGCGCAATTCATTAAGCCGTCCAGACTATTTACGCCCTCTAGTGAAGGTTACCATTTAATCATACAAATTAAACCGGATAATGTAGCCAACACTTTAGCTCACGACTTCGGTTCAGCATTTGTAGAATATTCTAAACCTAATTGGCGTCTATCGTTGGCTGGTACGAATTTTCTAAAAACGGCTGTGGAGCAATTAAGGGTAACTTTATTAATTTTTCTTTTTTTGTTTTGATGAATTATTAATAAAAGCTCTCTTTCGGTGATATCAGGAAGCCTACTCAGATTACGCTGCCTTCTTCTACAACCCTTGTGGCGGAAAAGAAATTGCAGTCATTTGGAAGCCGGGTGTATTTGAAAACAAAGAGTTTAAAGTTACTGATGTGCAAGCCTGCTCCTTAACATCGGCCGGCAAGCGGATGCAAGTCAACCAGGATGTATTAATAGAAGATTTCAAATTTATATTAAAAGATTTCTATTTACGCATTGGTTCTGTAGAAAGTGTACGAGAAGCTTCTTGTATATCCTTTACAAAGCCAACAACGAAGCGTTACTTCGATTGTCAAGCAATGGATGCTATCGAGCAGCGAAAGGTTATAAGCACAACATTTGCCAAGTTTCAAAGAGCATTTTGATGGCGAGAAAAAAATGAGAAATTAAAAACGTTTATTGTATATACGAACATATTGAACACTGAATCAGAAAATGTATACAATACGAATTTTGTACAAAACTTTCACATAAAGAGATAATTACGAGAACAATATTACTCCAAAAGCCCGTCTATGAATTGTTGGTTTGTACGTTTCAGTTTCAACTGCTCGCGAGCACTTAAGTTACTGGTTGTAGTTTGATTGCCTTTTTCACGGTTCTCTCGTTTATAGTTAGTTCCAGAACTCGTTACCGCTGATCGTTTCTCCTCTTGTGTATTTATTCCGGTTGACATTTTGAGTTTATGAGCTGAAAATTTACGTTTCAACTCCCGGCAATTTTTGCAGCAACAAACACTACAACACGTTTGAATATTTTGCTGATTTCTTTTATCCAATTCAGTGGAAGAAGTGCAAACTTCAACATACTTAAATATTTGAAAGTAGAAGTTAAGGAAATTTTGTGTTAATGCAAATTTAATGTAAAATGTTTCATCTACCGATATTTTTAATTAAGTGCAAACATAAAACCATAAAAAGATATTAGAAATTGAGTTCAGCATGAGGGGCGTTGAAATTTGTTAGTCTTTCGAGCAAAGAAAATTTAACTAATCGTACTTTTTAAACCAAAAAAAACTAAGAATTACGCGAATAATAGCGTATTGGTCTCTATATGATTGCACGGGTATAAAAATTCTGGCATCACCGAATATTTTGGCGGTATTTTGCGTATAGCATCTAGTGGTGCGAAATTTTGCATATTTATTCTGAGCTATATAATCAAGCGGCCTTTGCTTCACTGAATGTGCAGATGCTTCTGGTAAATATCTAATTTACAGTTTTTAAAAAATAACGGAATTGAAAAAATGTTCGTGGAAATTTTTAACTATAATTCTTAATCAATCAGTTGTGTTCTTCAACTGGTACATGTTTTTTCTTTTAATTTTCCCTATTTATGAATTTTACCATTTCTTTTGCCAATTTGCAATAGCAATATTCATTTTTTGTCTAACAAAACTGAAATCTCATTCATGTTACGTTTGACGAGCATACTTTGGTTTTAATCAAGCACTATGTGAGGGACTTTAAAAATAATTTACGCAGCTACTTTATTAAGAGTAACAATTTCCTTGAGAAATGAATGTATAAAAACCAACTTCACTTACCGGTGAGCCGCACTTCTCCCATTCTATTTGCTGTTCCAACGTAGCAACTGTCGCTGGTGGGGCAATATCCATAGGTTCGACTGTTTGACAGTTTTGATTAAACAAAATTACGGGTTTAAGGCGAGAGAATATACTGTTATAGCGATTATTGCACAGCACTGGCTGATCTTGCCGTGATGTTTCTAATAGAGACTGTAAGTTAAACAACAACTTGTCATTCGGGAAGTTGTCTAATGATTTCAGTTCACCGTTTGGCATTAGCTTATAATAAGTCAGCAGGCGAATATCTTCGATTTTTCGTAAATCTTGTTGGACTGCAATAAAGTGCTCATAACCCAGCTGCAAAGGAACTAAGCAAAGGAATTACCTTTCAGGAAAATAAATGGTTTAAAAACGCTTTACCACAAACGGGTGCTTGGACTACTTCGCTTGTTTGTACAAATTTTTTGACGGTAGGATCAAGATTCATTTTTTTTTTTTAATTTTTTGCCAAAATTTAATTTTACTTTTTTGTTGCCTTTTAAAATATGTAAAGTAGTAATAAAAGAAAATAACTAATAATTTTGACGATTTTTTAAAGAAAAATTTTTTCTGCCATGAAAAAAAGGAATTTCAAAATATTTAATTTCTATTATGAATATGTGTATATATGTGCATACAACTTTGTATTTCTTTATTATCAATTTTAGAAAGTTTTTTCAACATAGTGTAACTTATGAACGTAGATTGGATCCATCTGTCTTAATGGGCAAAGTTTCATCTTTCGCGGCGACACTGGCGGCACTGCTAGCTTCTTTTTCTTTAGAACCGAAATCCGGATAAAGTTTAGCCACTTGTCCTGTTGGTGTACACAAGCGACCTGTAAACTCGGGCCTTTTGCTATTTTGACTTCGCTCGACGTTGATTACAACATCGAAGAGTGTTCTATAAAAAGAGATCAGTTTACCATGTTTAAAACATTGCATTTAGCCACTAACCGCTGTCCTGCATTAATTAAGTTGCGTTTGTTTGCCTTCAATATACTACTGGCGTTATTTGAGCTACTATCCATTGAATGTGGTGGCGATAATGGTGAATCTCTTATTATATTCTTACCAGATGAATCGCCTATTGTAATTTTAATTAAATTTTTATAAAAAATAACCATAAAAAGAAGGCACTGTAGTTAAAGAATATCGAAACAAAAAAGCAACAGAATATTTTATCAACAACACTTCACTTTATATGAACGAGTCAATTATTGTACATGATACAAAATTAGAGAAACTAAATAAATAATTTAAAAAAATCAATAAATCATTTTATTCTTAAATTCCTTTAAGAATTTTGCCTCTGGGGCTAATATTTTAAGTCATTGAGTATGTAATTGTAAGGTATTTACAACAGAAGTAGTAGCCAAGCAGATATGAGACCATTTTGCCTTATGAAACCATTTTTTTACTTATGAATCCGTTTTCGCCCTAAGAGACCATTTCTTCCGTCAGTCCGCGTTTATACCCTACGTCACTTGTAGTATAAGCGTACATTAATTACCAGAAGGACTTGATGTAGACCAACCTCTCATCATTCTAACTTGTTTGTCTCCATATCTGTCTTGTTTCTTGCGTTCAACGTAAAAGTAGAAATTTTTTAGATAATTTGATGAAATATGGTCCACTGACGTGTTGTGGCCCAAGAAGGCAAGCGATTGAAAATGGTTCGAGACGGGCCACTTATTCGATCACTTCCCACATAACGTCTTCTTTTAAAACGCCAGTATATGAATAACTGTAGGGTAGTGTAGGGTATTTAATTGTGGGTCGCGCCCTATTATAGTCTCTCTACTTACAATTCGTGAAGGAAAATTTGCTATGGTAAATTTACGACTGTTTTTATTCTCTGCCTTAATACCGGCATCTCCGCATGCCGCTCTCACATTTTGTATATTTTCCAATATGACCTTATGGTGAGAATTTGTGGCATAACCACGTATTATCATCTCCAATTCGGCACATAATAAACGATATTGCTCTGTTTTTTT